TAAAATTTGTCTTCAAATTGCAGCTTTTCTTACTTTCTACCACAAATCTCTAATCATTCCAATAAGTCACGTTATGCAAAATGAGGAAAATCAGTTAGATTATGAAAATGATATGTGAACTTGATATTATCTTCAATCATATCATTCAATTGCGAGATAAAAATTATTCATGAGTGAAAGTTGGTAGGAATAAAATGCTGGATTACTTTGTCGTCGAGAGAAAATTGTATGTTTGGATCATTCTTAAAGCGATCGATTGTTTTATACAGTCATATATTCTCAATGATATTTTCCTCCACAGAGAGAGAAAAAAATTGATTAATTCAACGGAAGGTAACATACGAAGGGCTGGAATAATCGGAGACACGGGAACGGTTGGTAGTTCGGAGGATGCAACAGTGGTAATTGTCGGTGTTGCTTCCTGATCACTGACTATCAGCTGAGTTGCTGATGTCGTTTCCGGATTTTCAACTGATAACTGATTTTGAAGACTGCTTATGAACTTATCGTATTCTTCTTGCTCTACTTGCTTATAGTTTTCAACTATTCGAGCATTATCATTTCCTGCAGAAAATATTCCTCACAAATATTTGTCACTTCACTAAGTTNTTAAAATGATAGACATAAAAGTATTCGTAATAAATAGAGATGAGAATGGCGAGAATGACGCAAATTATAGTGATACCCGATAACGAAATTTTGAGTGCAGGTTTACGCTGAAGCGCTTTGGACGTTTTGAACAAATCAGCAGATCTTGCTTTTTGACTGCTGGGGTGAGCCATACGGTGATTGTTGTGGAATTGAATTTGTAGATCTGATGTTGTTAGTTCACGCAAACGATGATTCGTTGATTTATCTAGCGGTGTTCCAAATTCTTTGACCTCCTCATCCAAAGCCTTTTCGTCAAAGGAGAATTCCAAGTTCGGATCATTCTTCAAGCAATCGATTATTCCACACAGTGAAGCTAGACTCGTTTTCATTTTAGTTATATTCACAATTAAACCCTTATCACTGATTTTTTTACGTTCAATCCGCAACCACATAGAAGACCTCGAAAAGTGGACAAAACAAAAACCATAGTGGTGCAAATTTCCATAGATTGCTTTGGCATCGTGATATATTTATTTTCCAAGTTAACAAAATAAGAAAACACTGAAAATCTCGGATATATCAATCAACTTTTTATTCTTTTGGGCAGCTAGATGTACCATATCAAATATCATTTCAAAACGCTTTAGCACAATATTTACCTTCTCATCACTTTTGATAGAGTCATGCTCGATGCCATAGGCAATCTTAGATGATTTATTGGCAGATAAAGAATGGATATTATCAGCAGATGACCGTTCGATTTCTGCTCTTTTTTGTAATTCTTCCTCGAGAATCTGTCAACAAAATACTCCATTCATGATGACAAATTGATATGTTGGAATGTGATTTTCAGCTGACTCACAGGATGTGAAACCGGTGTAAGCAACTGACTTAATGCCTCTTTTCAGTATTTTTTGAGTTAACAGAGTATTTATCTGAAGA